GCTGTACCTTAAGTAACAGCAGTATTCGATTCTACACTTAAGTACAACGCATACAAATTTGTTCGTAGTTATTATATTATCTACATAATTTTCCTTACAATAATCTTTGGTATATACAAAATGCACATGTTTTCATTGTAATATATTACAAGTGTTCTAGCATATTCACACTAAAACCTAAGTAAATAAATTGTAGTGTCTATTAACAAAGAGAAAAGTTTAAACAGAATTACAAAATGACCTGGGCCCTGATTTTAATTCAAATCGGAGGGTAGCCTATCCGCAATATTATACGCCTCGACTCGGAAAAGACGCAGTTTCCGATCGGGAGAGGCAATCAAAATCAGGCTGATGGACTGTATTATTTGTGGTTGGTCGGCTGTGGGACTGAATGAATGTTTCATATTTTTTTGTTAAGATGATTGTCTCTTGTTGGAAACGACGTGACTAGGTCCAGTAAAGAAATCTTACACCGTCAACCTTGTATTTTCAAAGATATAATGTAATGTATCGTGTTTTTTTTTCTATCTGTAGGTGAGGTCAAGAACCTTAAATGTTAAATAGTAATTTTCACTACAGAGCGTTTTAAAGAGAATGAGGCTCTTAAGTTGGCATTTAAATCCAATTATAAGGTCAAATAATATATGTTCAATAAAAATTAAATAAGGTAGTTCTTGACATTTTTTACCATTGCGCGATTTTTAGCATTCTAAAGCAATGTTTGTGAAAACATCTAAATTTTAAAATATAGAGAATGTACCTGAAAAATTTTGCAAACAAAAATATAAAAATCGTTCTCCCTTTTGAATGCCCATTACTATTACCATTTGGTCTGTAAAAAGTTATAAAATAGCAACGTTAGTCTATTACATTATTTATATAGACTCCTGCAAAAAAGCCTGACTCTCTTTTCCAAAACGCAAGCCAAATGTTCTAATCTTGTATTAGCAAATATTTTTTGGAGTAATCCATATAAATTTATATGCACATAACTATAACTCAGCTCGCATTGAGTTATAGCTATGCGATATTCATTCAAAACATTTATCGCTGAATGTTTAGTAAAACTAAAATATAAAATATAATACAATACTGACAAGCTTATACAGCGAGATGACAAAAAAGCAAATTTAATGAACAACTTTCGTTCAACACACGCAATCATAATCAGAAATTTATCCGATGTAACTCACAATCACAAGTTCTATTTACACCCGCTTGCACATGCCACTGTCGTCGTCGTACTTTGACGTCACGTAAGTGTTCCTGGGCAGAACGCATGCGCACGGGATTGGTCGGCGCTAGAGCATCACGTCACGCACCGGCTCATTGATTGGTTGCTGTCATTCGCGCGCCGATATGAGAACCAGCAGCTGGGTACGACGAGGATCTGATTTTGCCCGGGATATGCTGCTGTTTTGTGTTCGGTTAAGGATCTGAAATCATAACAGTGGACCATAAGGGCGCCCTTTTCATAATTCATTTATTCATTGTGTCATGTGGATTGACAAAGGTGTTATATTAAATATAATAAAAGATTCCAGCACATGAACCCTGAAAATCACTACAATTTCACTACAATTACTAACTTACAACTTCAACCCGTTTATACGTCCCACTGCTAGGCACAACTCTCCTCTCAGGCGAGGGTTTAGGCCAAAGTCCGGCACGCTGGGCCATTGCGGGTGTGCGGGTGTGGGAAGTTCACACGTTTTTTGAGAGTTGTGAACCTTCTTGAATGTGTAAGGTTTCACCTTAGAATAATAACGCATAGAAACCTAGTCCGCACACGCTCAGTGAGGCAAATTGAAGCGCGCCCAATGGGCCTACACGAGCGGGCGGGCCTTCAGTGCTCAAGATCAACTTGCACCGCGAACGGATCAAGAATTTTAGTTAAAAATGACGGAATGTGCGGTAAATGAGTGTAAAAATACGTCAGACAAACACAAAATAGATACTAACATCCACAAGGAAGTAACGCGTTTCAACTTGTATTTTTATATAAATATTCACTAAAACCGAAAATTAACCTACTACTAAAACTAGCCTACATGAATTTGATTTTTGCCTCACTTGTGACAGTTCGTTTGATATGAAATTATCATTCTATGCGTTATTATTCTAAGGGTTTCACGATGTTTTCGACATCTTACAATAGATATACTGTACTCCTACATATTTTACAAATTTACGTAAAGGTACACAAACACACACCACATACATACACACACACTCGCACGCACGCACGCATGCACGCACGCACGCACACAAATTATGTTATTCTCTTTGTAATTTCAATTTCATTAATTATATACATCCTGTAACTTAACTAGTCGTAACTTACAAACCATGGAAGAGCGGGGTCTCCTAGCACAAGCAATTATTTTGCTTAAATGGAGTTCCCCAGCAAACTTGCTGTAAACTAGGTTTAGGTGAACATAAATAAACACTTTTTTTTTATTGTAACGTAAATTAAGCTGATGCAATTTAATTTATAAATATTTCATTAAATTAGACGCTTATAGAAGCCATGCAGTGGCGCCACTGTCAATTTTTATACAATATGTGGATGCGCAGCTGTAGCGCCACAGTTTTATGTCGCCAAAAAATAATATAGGCACCCAACTTGGGATTTTACAGAACGTAAATTGTTTTTTTCTACTGTAGTTTAATCTATCAATTATAATTTCATAAACCATATCACAAAGGCGCTCTTGTTAGTTCTGAACCAAAATTGTATTGTCTATGGTACTATGGTACGCTACCGAATTGAAAAATTTCATTATACGTTTCTATGAGTTTCTAGAAAGAACGTCGTGTTTTTGCTAATTAAAATAGCCTCCATAAACGCGTCACTGTGTTCCTGAACAGAATAACGTCACTTATTTAAAAACAATATGAAATAACAAATATGACGCCATTCAAACACTACTACCTCCTGATTGGTTAAAATATGACCGGCACTTGGCCAATCGCGGACACTTCTATTTATTTGGTTTTTTTGTTTAGCGTTTGCTTGACTTTCATTGAGTTCGTTGTCATAGATTGTTAACAAAGTAATCATTAAATATTGGTTGTTGTTTCATTATTCTAATTTACTCGTAGAAATAGTATTGTACGCAATGATTACATAATTAGGTCTTAAAATCTCGTACCTGTTACTTAGGCCATTGGGTAACGGATTTTAAGAACCCTCATTATGCCACGATTGCACAAAATAGTATTTTTTTTATTTACTTCTAAAGAGATACAGAAATTATATTCTGCTACTATGTTTTTTTTTTAGAAATTGTAGAATTATCTGGTATATTGTATGTAATAATAATAATAAATTTCTTTCTCTCTACAAATGTTTGTTACAATTTTTGGCATAGAAACAGACCTTATTTTCTAAAGTGACAAAATTTTAGGAGACTGGAAACTAAACTAGATTAGAGATCTGTGTCTTAGGCTTCGGGACTTCCCACCTCAAACTTAATGCCATTTAAATTTACACCAATTGTGACAGGGATGTAATGTAAAAATTTGAAACTACACTATAAATAAAAATAACTAAGGGAACATGTGTTTAAACAGTCGTGTGTGACTGTGTGTACGTGTTTTTGTGTAGGTATGATTGCATGTATAAGTGTTAACCCGTGTTAACCCGTGTTTGCAAGTGTGTGTGTGTGTGTCAATGTAATTTAAAACTTATAGTAATTACTCAACTTCACTTTATATAATGATACAGTTATAATTTAACTACTTAAACACGTACCGTAGCAACAGAATGGGATCTTTTTGCATGTGTAGAGCTAAGCAGATCGGAGTTGGCTGTAGAGTCGGATCGCGAACGAACTGTTCCCCGTGTATTGCGGCGTCGTCGTCGGCCCCACCAGAACCATTTATATGGTGGTACTCGCCTGGAAGGTGAATTGAAACGTTTATAATAAGAATTAGTGGAAATTATGATAATAATGTCGCGAATCACGCGATAATAATCATTTGGTGAGTAAACGAACTTCACCCATTTTTTGTGTTGTGGTAACACTGCTTTGCCTTTGCTAACTTTTATTTTGACACTATCGAGACGGCAGTAACGTCAACGGCAATGGCGGGAACCGAGTGCACTTCAGTTTGGTTAAAACTAAAGATATGGCTGTGTAAGTGAATGTACCCTAAGAGACAAAGTACTGGTAAGTTCCTCTATGTACTGTTTAACATTACGACATGCATAGACACGGTGGAAAGATACATAACTAAGTTAATTGTCGAGTTTAATATTGTTACGAAACATGTTCTATGACTATCAATTTGCCCGCAGTAGACTAGCCTCATTGACGCTTATGACTGTGTGTGCCTATCGTTGGCATCAATCGGGTCGGTATTAGCTGGCATGTACGCTTGCACCGCGATTAATAGCTATCGAAGCTAGAAACCTATTGGGCAGAGGTTGGACTAAAGGGGAGGCTGGAGGTCTTCTCGGGGCACCTCTCAAGGTATCCCGCCCCAGTACATAGGCGAGATGTGCTGGGGGTTTGTACGCGACATACGAAGCACACCTATGGTTCCTCGTCATAGCACAGTGTAGTGTTATGAACGTTTTAATCATGGTTCAGTGTCTTTCTACCCGCTTATATGTATACCTATAAATTAAGTATCTTTTGTCGTCCTTCAATATTTACATTGAAAATATTTGAACCAGGAACATAGGTATTACAGTTTAGTCTAAAACCAATAAACTACAAAGTGGCGTCAAATAATATACACTAAAAACATTTAGATCTTTAAACGTTCGGTAACATTTAGATTAATTAACAGCCATTTTGATACAATAGTCCTTAAAAGAGTTACTTAAAAGTAATTTTAATTTTTAAAAAGCGCTTACTCGAGTCTTGGTCAAGAATAAGTCGGAAGAAGGGTTTGCACGTGCGTGTAAATATATGTCGCTAAATGAGTTCTTCTTAGTATAATAATAACGTACACACTCATAGCGTCGCACTAAGGAAACCCTGTATTGCGGGTGCCATGGACACACGCATAGACAACCACAAAGTCACGAGAAAAACCTTCAGGTGAAATTACAGTTACATGAGACTTATCAACTTATGTCTCAGGGTGTCGGGCGCAGTGGCATCTTTTTGTTTTAAAGTTCTGAGTGGCCTTGTTCGTTCCGTCTCTTGGTATCATAAAAAAAAACAGAAACAAATGTAGGCCTTACAAATATTTCTCCCGGTTCGGGAATCAAGGCTGGGACATCTGCGTGGCAGACCAGTATGGTAATCGTTTGACCACCGAGGCAGTTAAGATACTTAATATTAAATGTTATGTCCAATTAATAGCACATCAGTTTATACACTCTATTCCCAATATCGCCTCAAGAGCAACGGCGGCACAAGATCCGTCAATAGCGGGCTTTACACAGACACTCTATCGTGCGTGATACAGTAAACGTGCGCTCAATCGCGCACGTGTAAAGATGTTGGAAGGAAAACACTCCAACCTGTTTCACGCGGTCTATCCTGCGCTATTAGCCTTTACACGGGCGCTCTTTCCGTTGTAATAAAAACGAACATGAGAAATCGCGCGCGAAAGAACGTTAGCTTAAAAAAAATCAAACAGGTAATAGCGTACGCAATCCTGTACGCTCTTGATCACGTACTCACACACGCGATCACGCTAATAGAACCCTTTACACAGTCACTCTATCGCGCGTGATACTGATCACTCACGATCGCGCATGATTGCTGTATCACGCGCGATAGTGCATAAAGCCCGCTATGGTCTATCTGCTATCGCATTAGTTTAAACCTGTAATGATAGTTTGTAAGTGTTTTTTAAATAAAAATAAATAAAAAATGTACTGACATCCTTACGTCAAGTTTTGAATATTACCTTAGGCTCGTGTAAATATGTGGCGAGAACATGCAGCAAATTAATGGGTTGGCAGCAGAATTGAGAGGTGCTAAGCTCTGGATGAGAGTAGCTATAGCCATATTGGTCTGCGTCGGGGGTATGTGATTGTAGACTTGCAGTAGGTCGAACACGATGTACGGTGACCAGCAGAGGATGAATACTGGAACATAAGGGGATGAGTATTATTGAGGAGAATTTAAGGACAAAAATTGTAGTTACTACTCACAATAAATGAGAAAAGATTATATCTAATCAAAAGTTGTTAAGAATCGATACTACCTTAGCGCGAATTAAAACTTTTTACCGTAATGAATCGGTTGTGTTGTGCGGATTGAGTGACCAGTACACTGGCTTTATTTTAGAATTTATTTTTTTACAAACGATATTGAAGCCATTTGAAATATGTATATCGTATACTATATGTGTCCTATTTAGTTCAGTTGGTTTATAAAAAAAAATGGTATAAGTAAAGTACCTATTACTATTGAATACAGCGGTTTTCTTCTAAAATGTCGAGGTAAGTTTGTGTTTTTTTTTCCATCCAGAATATAACCAGAAAAAGTGACGAAATAGGAGCCATCCCTGACAACTCATCAGCCAAATAGTACTGATATCACTTTTAAATATCAACTCTCGCAAAGCTGAAATCACAAATTAGAAAGCTGAAATAGTACAGCGCCAACAACTGACCTGTATGTACGTCTCCGTGTATTCCAAAAATATCCTGTACTTATTGTAGTAAACATAATATCTGTTCCGTTTCTGTCCTATCTGGCTGGTGTCTTATCTGCTGTTCCATTTGGCGGTATAGGAAAAACAGCAAAACATCTAATTACAAAACAAAAGAAATCACATTTCATCGGTAATTAAACATCAAATATGTAATTTTTCAATTTTCGTCCATTACAGCAAAGCTCAAGTTAAACTTGACGTGACGACACCCGTCAATTGTTTAGAATTCGGGTTGGCCAATCGGAGCGCAGTTGTCACAGAAATGATATAGTAGAATAGTTTTCAAACAAATTAAATGACATTTCGTCTCTATTTCTGGTTACAGACTCCCCATATCATTACTGTGACAACTGCGCTCCGATTGGCCAGCCCGAATTCGAAACAATTGAAGGGTGTCGTCAATTAGTTTACTTCAAATCGACCAGTTGAACTTGAGCTTTGCTACAATGGACGAAAATTGCAAAATGACATATTTAATTACCGATGAAATTTGATTCCGTTTGTTTTGTAATTAGATGTTTTGCTGTTTTTGCTCACATCACTGAATGGAACAGCAGGTCGCCATTGTTAAACTGATTATCTATATTACAATTGGAATATACCGAGACGTACACACAGGTCAGTTGTTGGGGCTGTCTGTAATTCAGTGCAAACGAGAGTTGATAGTTATAAGTGATGTATCACTGATGAGGTACCAGGAATATATGGCCCTTATTTCATCTCTATTTCTGGCTATATAGTCGATGGTGTCAATTAATGTGTTATAAATATAAATTAATTTATAAATTGGAAGTAGCCAAAAAATCCAACATATAAATAAATATCTCTGGACTTACGTAACATTATAAGTTTTGAAAATAAAACAAGAGCTAGAAACACTTTTCAACTTCAAACTGCCATATCTCGAAAGTGACTAGATGTGCATTGGATCCTTTTTGTTTTACTACGTCCAATTAATTCTTTGTAATACGGGTAGGTGACGCTAATTCTAAACAAACAAAAGTATTGCTGGCACTATCCGTATAAATCTATGCAATAAGCGCCATCTAGTTGATTTGTTTGTTATCACTAGAAATAAGAAAAGCTTTAATAAATTGCAGCTTGTTTGTTTTTGGTAGTAGTCGCGACGTCTGGTGTAAGAATAGGTACTAAATACCTGACTACGTTGTCTTGTACCGCGATTAGAAGTTCGCTGGTATTATTGGTGCTCATAGGCATCTTTTCGGTAAGAAGCTGCTCATGAGCTGTAGATGCCATATCATTTAGAGATCGTAGCAACGGACAACAAATATCTCACTCGGTTTTTGGTGAAAGACTTTAAAAACACTACACTTACAATGTAAACTACAATAAGAATACTATTTTATGTACAAATAAAATATCATAAATAAACAAATATGTAACTGAAAAGAATTTAAAAAAATGTTATTCAAAACATTTCATTACAATGTAAATGTAACAGATACTTATTACACTAGTAATAACTAAGTAATTATTGTCACAGCTACAAGCTTTCTTATTAAATATTATAAAATACAAATTATGTGAATATAACGTCACCTGGGATGAACTCAAAAACACAGATTTTTCACGAGAGCAATTTTAAAGTTTCTTCTAGCATTATTTGTATTTCTTATTTGGTTCTCCTCACCTATATGTGTTCGAAGCCTATAACATTTAATAGCATTTTCGAATACTTCTTATTCTTATTCGGTTCCCAAGTTTTGACAAAACCCTGAAATTGTTCAAAGAGGTCTATACAGGCTGTATATTTGACAGTGAGACATATTCATGCATGTCATAGTAAATCATGTTACAACTTAACATAGACTGAAATAAAATTAGGATATTGGATAGAACAAAAAATAAATCAACAAATTTGTCAAGTGTACATAGGTATGAACCGATTCCCTTTACGCTTGATTTCGAGTGCATTGGGAATACTACCAAGCGAGCGCCGAGTGAGACAGCAACAATAACAATGATTTCACATCTCTCCCTCACCTACTCATTTATGTTATGATGAAAAAGCTGTTATCGAAATGATTACATTTTAACTTATGTTAATTATTTTTTACTTATGAACTATCATCGAAATGTTTTACGTACTAAAAAAGATAATTAAGTTATCATTTAACAAGAATTGAGGTTCTTGGCGTAGTTAAAAATGTGAAAATCAAATTATTTACATTGATTGATTTTTTAGTTATTTACAATTTATTTACACTTACGTGGTACGGAGCAGGTGTTCAAAATGTCCACCGTTTTCCACAATGTATAATCTAGCACGTCGTAGGAAATTTTGTTTTAAATTGATCAACACAAACACATTTTGTCTCACAATATAAAATGCTGAGATAATCCTCTCATGCAACAACTTCGACACTGTTGACTTCCTCCACGTAAACTCCAATTTGGGAACATTTCAATAGCTCGCATCACACTATCACCACTTATTGTGTAAAGTCGCACCATCTCAGTCAATTCGACGTTAGAATAAATATCCATTTTGCAGGTAAGGGGCAACTTCGCCGCCAGCGCAGTGTTCGGGCGAGCGGAAGTACAAATAATTTACGTGTCTTCGCTAGGCCAAGGTCGCGTGTGTACTGTCTCTGCAAACAGTGCCGATTTGTGCTTTGTTTTTCGCCGCCGTACCGCCGCGCCTCTCGCCGCTGCGTGCATCGGAGCAATAATAGTGGTGTGCATAGAATTCGATAAGTAATGTTGTTCTCAAGTAGTAGTCGATAAAAAAATTTTTTTTTGTAAAGTTTAAAGTCATTAGTTTATTATTTTTTTGGGTTCAGAATCAGAAATACAACGCACTCTATAAGTATGTCTCACTTTCAAATGTTCAGCCTGTATAATACTAACCTTTTGAACACAAAATATTTGTAATTCTGAGTTTTAACTATTCACGCTTAATATTTTTATATGGAAGAAGGAATAATCTTCAATTCTATAAAACTTTGAGGAACATAGTCGTATCTCAAAATATTACTCTATTACCTACTATAGATTACCTAACAATTCAATGAAAAAACTATTCCAAAAAAGGTACCACCTTGAAATAATCGTCTTCGTTTTAGAAATTAATATTTTTAACTTACCTCTTAATGACACATCGCAACTGCTATTACAATAGTGTTATAAATCCAAATATGTGAAATTCAAGATTATACCATTGTTGAACGTAAAATTTGATTCTCTACACCTCAATAAAACCGTCGTTAGAATATTTTATAAAAAACAATAAAAATATAAATCCTTAACTCAAAACGAGACACGCTTTATATGAGCTAGTTCTGGCCAAAATAGTCCTTATTCAAAAACATGAAATTATTGTTTCTCTTTTATTTTGAAATATGCATATTTGGCAAGTAGGAAATAACCTATACATAAATTTACAAAGATCTTTCACGGGAAGCGAATAATTAGTTTTTCATCGAATCTGATAAAATACACTTTTTGAATTAATACACTATTGTATTAACAGTGCTGCGATATGCTGTGTTTGAGGTTTGATAACTTATTCAACGAACGATGACGTCTTGATGACTACAGCTTCGTGTGTTATACTGAATACGACTGTTTGGCTCTATGTTTGGTGCAAAAACGTGCAAAAAGTTTTAGAGATACTACCCTGCCTCTCACACCATTTCACGTCCGATTGTTAAAAGACCTGGTTCATTAGAATGATCTTTGTTTGAGTTGATACCCTGTTATTGTCATTCCTTACTGGGCTCATAAATATACATCTAGTGAAGATTAAGAACAGAGAGACGGCATATTAAACTACACATTGATGGATCGTGTTCCGTTGCACTAGATATTCGACGTGTGTATACTGCCTACGTGGCCGAACGGTTACCTGGGTTCGGTTCCAGGCCGGGAGAAATAACGCACACTCTCAACTTAGACCCGCACGAGGGAAACCCTGTGTCGCGGGTACCATGGACACACAAATAGACAATCATAAATTACACACAAACTCCCGAGATAAATAAATGTAGGCCATACTAATAATTCTCCCGGCTCGGGAATCGAACCTGGGACCTCTGCGTGGCAGTCCGGCATGGTAACCGTTCGGCCACGAAGGCAGTCAAAATATCACATATTTTGCACAGCATGGTCTACATATATTTCTCTCGTGAGTTTGGGTGTAATTTGTGGTTGTCTAAGTGTGTGTGTCCATGGCACCCGCGAGACAGGGTTTCCCTAGTGCGGGGCTATGTCGAGTGTATGCGTTATTATTATTATCATTATTCTATAGCTTGACGTGCTGTTGACAGTACTAAAAACGATTGTAACGTTTATTTTATTTAAGGAAGGTAATAAAATGATTGAACATTGAGCACTTGTAAATTGTACTGACCAAATACAATGACGAAAGTCATCTTAACACTCTTGATCTTGGCCCGAGGTATAAGGCCACGCGAGCTGGCGCGACGCGACTCCGGGTCACACTCGACTTGACCTGTAAAATTTAAGTATACAATTTACAGCTAGAACAACAATGTTAATAGGGAGTTCCTACATAGAGCGTTTCTTCCGTAGCAAGAAGAACATTGTTTGCATAATAAATTTTGCATAGATCTGAGGCCATAGTGTAAGTTTTCAAATAATATATAAACTTAACTATCGCGTTTGCGTTAAAAGTTTAATTTAAACCTTATAAATATACGGTCAAGATCTAGTGTAGTTGAGTTAGAATGATTAAAAATGAACACTCTGGCCTCTGACCGTGTTTGATCTCTGACCTTTAATTCGTCTCAATTTATGAACAAACGCCTACGTAAGCGTAATAACAAAAATTCGCAATATTCATAATTTTTTCATGAATCAACAGAAACAAAGTGAGCGTTTCGTTGACTTAATCGATTGCTTTAATTCCTATTTTATTAATACTTAAAAGGCAAAAATCGTTAATTCCGCGACCGACAACGCGCTTGTTAGGACATTTTCAATAAAACAACTATTCAAGCCGTCCCTCAAAGAACAAGAAACCTTAATTAACTTAACTTTGTTATTTTATACGAACCATTTCGCATAGTTTTGGTTCTCCTGGAATTCACAGGCGGGCTCATGACAACGGCTTTACTCTTGGTCCAAATTGTCAATACGATAACGGCGTAGCACGCTGCGATGGTCAGGGCTGGTAGCACGAAGATCATGATGGAGACCAGGGTCATCCACACCTGCCAGCGGCGCGGAGAACCCAAGTCTATCCAGCATTGCAGTTGGCCTAGAATTATCGTGAGACAAACAAAATTATGTAAAATGCTGGTCAACCAATTCATCAACGATTACTCAGTCAGAATGACAGTTTTTTTTTTAAGATACCGACTGGTGAAACGAACAAGTCGCGTGTCTGGTGATAAGCGACACAGTTGCAGTGCCGTCTGAGGGGCACTGCCACTACGCTTGTGAAATTAATAAGTTAATAATTCTCATGTGCCAATAATTTCACTTTAACTTATAAAACCAAAACGCAGGCAGAGTAGGTAAGTAGTCAGTATTTGTTTAAACGAACTCTTTCACAAGGAGCTCTATTGCTGCTAGAAGAAGCTTACTACTTACTGAAAGTATTAATTTAACTATTTTCAATTTAATTAAATTTTTATTGAATTGATATTCAATTATTTTTTGTGAAATTACTCCACTAGTTTGTTATAAATATTAATACAAAGATCGAACACTCAGAAAAAATTCCTTCGATCCGGTCGGATTCGAACCGACGTCTTCTTGCATACCGTGCCAGACATCTCTCGCCAGGACTGGTAGCTGTAAAGGTACTAACTCGGTGATAAATCTTTCATAGATTTCTCATAGATGTCGCTACGACTAAAAAGTCGTTGAAAAACCAAATATTTTCAATTTACTAAAAAAAAACATAATTTACGACGCTACATAAGATTTGCAAAATCTCTAGAAAGCCCAACTTTGGTTGGAAAAGCAAATAACACATAAAAAGTGATTTGAGAAAACTCAAATTGAAAATAAAAACAAATATGAATTGATCTTATAACGAAAAATGCGATTATTTTTATTTCACCTCACTAGCTCGGAAAGGCTTTCTTTCTCGTTAGAAATCTGCACGCAATAGTTATTTTAGATACAAGTGAGGAAAGTTAGTCATTATTCACGAGTCTCGAGGCTTCTCGAGACTCGAGACAAGTGAAGATGACAAATGCGCACGTGTATCAAACAACGTTTTTTAATAAATTTGCGAAAAAACTATATCAAAAGCAAAATAAAACAGTAGGTATTTAAAAAAAAACTCATTTTATTTCTTTGTCTGTTAAAAACTCAGAGTACAGTGGCAACTGTTGCCAGTATTCAGCCACATTAAAATTATTATTTTAGTGGCGCGGCGCGCAGCGGTCTCGCGTAATACTCACCTCTGGTCATTGTTAATACTCAATCAGCCATCTTTATGGAAAATATTTTGGTATTTTTAAATGTAACCCGTTGTTTTTTTAAACACCTATGCAATTTAAACAAATAAGATGTTTGTAAGTAAATATAAGTTTTAATGACGAATGACTTACGTCACAAAGCACATAAATATTAAAACAACCTCTTTAGTTCCATGTTTAAGATTTGAAACAATAGTAAATTTAAATAAAATGGAAAAGTAAAAAGCACTTGTGCGAAAAATCCAACTTTCGGCACGATTTGTAGTAAAATATCACGTTTTGAGCAATTATTAGTATTAAAAAAGCGTTTTTTGCACTCTAGCGTGGAAAGGTTTTTGACATTAGAAGACTCTAAGGGTCGTATTCTAGAACTCTACTCAATTTACAAGTCAGGATTGCAATGGAAACACAAGCACTGGAAATACGACCCTAATGGCAGGGACTGAAGTATGATTTCGAGTGCTTTAAACCATACTCAAATCCTGACTTGAGCATTGAGTAGAGTTCTAAAATACGACCCTTAGACTGTGGTGAACCTAACTTTTTCTTTCGATGAAAACAAAATAATGACACGTTCAACTACCCGATTTGTCGTACCTACATCACTTATTTTTATGTTATATAAATCCATTGGTATATTTTATTCTTATTATTGTTGACATTAAATTGACAATGAAAACTAATTGTGTATATTAAATTATTTTAATTCGTCGAAGAACTAAAATAATTTCAATAATCACTTAATCACACAAAATAAAAGTACAAGCAAGAATAAAAATTAATGAGGTGTAAATTCAGAACGCATCCGAAAATATTTTTTCTTTTAATTAAAAAAAAAACTGATGTTTAGTTCAACTGTTTTTCTTTCAATTACCATTATCTTCGCTGTAGCGAGGTCTCGCGTCAAACAACAACTTTGCAGCCTTGCATAAGAAATAACTATTTATTTATAAATGAGAACATAGAGGTGTATATTCGTTTCTTATAGTTTTTTTCGTCGTCGTCGAATCATGTTATCTCGATTCCGCAATTTTGAGTTACGACAGTGTTTGGTTTTGAGTAGGAAATATTATTTTCAAATTGTAGCAACCAAGAAAAACTATAATCTTGATATATGTATGTGCATAATGTTACATCACGAGGTCGACTAAATCAAACTGTCATAAAAACAATAATAGAATGTCATAAACATTTTATTATCATTGTGACATAGCCGACATCAATAAAATCTAATATATTCTAGTGGATTACCACACCGATTCTATTTATTACTTAATACTAGTATAAAGACTCCCGTATTGACTATAGTCTGTCTTTTTTGAAGATGGAGTAAAATGCAGTAAAAGTGTTGCCCGCTTGCAAGCGCAAATAAATATATTTCGACTATCGATAAATATTAATCACGCTTAGCGCTTATGTAATAGATAGCCGAATTGGTTTCTTTGAACCATCATCGGTCTATTATTCGTCCAACTGCTGGGCTGTGCCTATCAACTTCATGCAGTCGAGGTCTCAGATAACGACTTCACGCATTAACGGCATGCAGTTAATGCATGAAGTCGTTATCAACTATATCGGCTTTATGAAGTTGATTACGGCTTCATGTATAAACTGCAAACATGCAGTCAGTCCGTTGTACTCTGTGCAACCATTTATTTAACTTTTGGCGTATTGACATGCATCTGAAGTTCCGTAATTATTGATATACAACCACATACAAAAAAATGCAATACTTTCTGAACCCTTTTATTTTTTTAATTTTAGTGAAGCTACGTGCTCTTTAGATCCGATTATCAAGGCAACAGATATGTAACGAAGATTATTCAAGTTGTTAAATTTTGGTACCTATCTAATAAACATAACGAAATTAAATAAATTATAAATAATTATAATAAATTCATGAATCGTCGGATTCTTCTCCACATGAACGGAAATCATCACTTGAATCCTCATTAACATTAAATATTAATTCTTAAGTACACAAATTGTCAAACACAACATTACGACACCAATAAGACAATATCTTCTTTTTGGAACCCGCTCACTTTTACGATTAACACTTCTTCAATAATATCGATTGTTATAAAAAATCGAATCGGAAACGCATTGAGACATCACTAATTGATTAGAATTCGATCTGTCAAAAGTTAAGTACAATACGGCTGCTATACTTTGTCCTAGTTGGATGGATAGCAGCCTTAATATAGAGGTTTATAGGTGACTCGGATTTAATTGAAACTGTAGGGCATTGAACACCACCGTAAAGTAGATACATGATATATCACAGAATAATAAATACAGTAAAAGTGCCCAGTTTGCGTTTGCACGCGTACTAACAATTCGCGGAGTACAGCAAACTTGAGCTCAGACCGACATTTTCGCTTTGTACTATGGTGGTTTTTTTAAGCTACACGCCTGTCCATAACAGTTGCAGTGCCAGTCAGAGCTTTAAATTGCAAAGATCTGAGAGGCCCTGCCACAGGTTTATTGCCCGTGGTCCAACTGCGTCGTCACAAGTCCCATGTGCCTGTATTTTTACTAGCACCCGTACCCTTCAAAACCGGAACACAGTAATGCTGACATTACTGCTTGGCATCAGAAATAGGTAAAATAAGGCGTCAATTGTCTCGCACAAAACATGCCTTATTTCGTTATTTTGGACTGCAAAAAAGAACGCACTTGGAAATTATTATCATTGGCGATATTTCGTATCATCATTAAAGTCTTTATTTTGTTATATTTGCAATTTACTGTTTATCGTGATCTTACGTAATCTTTTTTTTACAAGAGATTCGTCGTCGTTCACCTGTTATCTGACAGCAAATAGATCGATATTTCAATATAAAATTAAAACGTCGTAACTTACAATAATAGGTATTGATGGTATGAAACTTTCAATGATATACCAAAAGGTTAAGGTTTAAATTATATTAACAATTAATAATCTCAGTACAGAGTACTAAAAAAACCGACCTCTACGAATTACGTCTATTTGCCAAGTTTTATTGAAATATCCCCTAGTTCGCCACTATACAGGACTTGACACTGGAGATATAAAAATCGGTTCTCACTACTCAAAGTATATTGAGAGAAAAACGCCTTGAATTGGAGAAAAAGCCAAATCAATCATTAAAGTAATTGCTCCTAAATTAAAGTTAGGCGCTATTTATAAAAATGAATCTTCATGCGTGAACAGCCACCCTTCGAGGTGGATGCTTTTCTTTAAAATGAAATGGGACCACTATGAAAGTACCCCCTTTCCAACAAAAAAATAATCATGAAAATCGGTTCACAAATACCGGAGTTATCGCGTAACATACATACAAAAAAAAAGAACATACAGACGAAGGGAAAACCTCCTCCTTTTTTGAAGTCGGTTAAAAATTTGGTATTTATTTTTAAATTTGAAACTACTATTTTTAAGATTTAACAGTTTTTCGAATGACGAAACTCACACAAAATTGGCGACAGCGGTTCTGGTAATAATCGTGGATATAAGTACTTCTATTGTTTTTTTTCTTCCGTGGGATACATCACGGATAAAAAATTCTCTACTTAAAAGTTTGGTTATAATTTACTAATTAATACACTCACCCTGGACTTCCTTGACCTCGTAAAGAATGAATATTGGGATGGAGAAGACTATGCTGATGAGCCAGGCCGACACGATCAAACCACGCGCTCGATTCCCTGAAACACCAACGTTATACTATTTAAAATTACCTGAAAGAAATTCTTACTGAAGCGTATACCACACCGCGAACGAAGCTAGCCAACATGCCTAAGCTCACGTAGTTGCAAGTAACCAACTAAGCTTTTGCATGCAACTACGTGAGCTAAACTATATTAGCTACCTTCGTTCGCGATGTGTGTTTTTATTATTTTACGTAGTCTCTCTAGAATCGAATTTTGTTGTTGCTTTGATTTATTCACATTATGTGTATAATTGTGTTATATACTAAATACATTATACAACATTAAAACCTGCTTACAATCACAATTTACTCCTACAGCTGTAATTATATTCACACTCCCTGATGCATTTACATATCAAATAGGTTATTTTACTATTCTACTACTACTACTTGATCCCTCTCGTTGGTCCTGACTGAAAACCAGCGACTCAGGAAATGTATGCTGAGCCAGCGCCGTTTCACTGCTACGACAATCATGTTATGTTTTTTCTTTTATGCTTAATCTGTATTTGTGTTACACCAGTGAATAAAGTGTTTATCTAACTATCTATCTATGTGGCCTGCGCTTTAGGTATTGACTCATTAGGCTGCCTGTTATACAGTCAACAACAGCATACCGAGCTATACACATGTAAGTAGCAGTAGAGCAAGGTGTGACAGAGTTCGTCCAGGGAAGTACTGCCGCCTTACCTATTTGCTACCAAGCAGTAATGTTAGCATTACGGTTCCCGTTTTGAAGGGTACAGGCACATGAGACTTGTCTACTTACGTCTTTGGGTGAGGGGCGCAGTGGCAATGCCCCTAAAATCTGTTCGTCGCTAATATCGCTTCTAGAGTAACGGAATAAGATACGTCAATGTGTAGCTTGATATGCTGCCGTCTTTACAGTAGCTTATTATTAACCCGTGGTGGAAAAAGACTGAATTTTAAAGTTTGAAACCCAAAGGAATGGACAAATCTCAAAGCTGTTTTTAAATTAAAGTTTAATTTGATGGAAATGGTTTTTGGCTGTCCTTGATGAACATCTATTTAAAGATTATTAACTGGGATGCACGACAGGGACCTCCCCACACCAGGTACCATTTCTTTTCGTCTTGCGCGCCCTGAGCACTAATCGGCGAGTTACTCCTAAAAGCGGTTACATAGGATGACTTTTAGCAGCGATGCAAACGCGATGCAAGTGCGTGATGGCATCGATGTAATCGCGCATTTCACGACCGCGCGTTTGCAACGCTGCTCAACGTCCTCGTGTGTAACCAGTCTAAAAGTTGAAACTTTCTAGTTTTCCATATTATAAAAAATAAAGTCGGTTTTGTTTTTTTTTTAAATAACATTAAATGATAATAATGATGACCTTAATATTTTACAAATGCACGTTAGACGTTTTACCTTTCCAGTGTATTATAATGAGGTTTTAATAAATATTAAATTTTTCTGCGTATTATTTGTTAAAAAAATGTGAGTATTTCATAGTAAGACTTGAATAAGAATATCCATTAGATAAAAATACAGTTTTAAATTACATCGTCTATTTGAAAAGTGCCAATCATTATATTGTACAGTTTCACAAAGGAGTTTTACATCTGGCAGTAAAGTGAAAATCCTTGTTATTAAAAATGCTTTTTATTTTTTAACCCTTTGGCAACGTTTTAAAAGCTGTTCTAATAATATTTCTGACGCGCATTTAACGAGAATTGGGTAACATTTACTGAACAATTCCAATATTGTTTAAAAATAAAATGATTTTTATTTTATTTTCAGTACGCAATTCTATAAAAGGAGTTATAACTCCACTCCAGATGAACGAATTTTGAAATTAAGTGTGCAATATTATTATAATCACAATTTACAGAAACTGTTTTAAATGGAAATTTAGAAGAACCATGTCAACTTGATATTAAAATTATTGTACTTATATTAATTAAAACATATCAACAACAACAACGAACGTAGTCATAGACCCTAACTAGGGAAACCCTGTATTGCGCCTCCCATGGACACACACATTGACAACCACAAATTACAGCCAAACTCATGATAGAAATAAATGTAGGCCATGCAAATATTTCTTTCGGTCCGGGAATCGAAAGCTATATATATTAATAACATTTATTAATATATATAACATATATATTAATAAATAACATTTATTAATATATATATAACATTTATTAATTTATTTTAAAAATACCTTTATTAAATAAATAAATAAATGTTAGACAACATCACGCACCAATAAAGTTCTGATTGGCACTCAATCACAAAGATTTTAGTCACTGCGCCCGTCTCCCTGAGACATAAGTTGAGAAGTCCCCATAATTTCATCAGCACCCTTACCCTTCCAAACAGGAACGCCGTGGCAGAAATAGGTAGGCATTTCCCATGTCAATAGGTATCAATTTTCCCATGGTTACCAATGCCGGTTATTGAGTCCTAAGCGCCCAGTTACCCGCAGCTACCACGCTTTCACGCACATTAATGGCGAATTTGAATTCTATTTACTAGGCCACAACATTTAAATTCTTTGGAATAATACAATTTCCGCGCGCCCGGAACGCTCATTTAAGTTAAAACGTATAAGCTAAATAAATAGAGCCTATTTTGCCGTAACTCTTCGGTCTCTGAACACGTACACGCGGTCGCTGCGCGGCGTGAGCGCAATGATAAAAGCGTGTCAAATAAAAGCGCCCTTAGAGGATTAGTGTTAGCCACAAATTCACAACAGTGGTGCGTTCAATTAGGCGTTCAAGATTTGCAATGTACGCCGTTATTGTATTGACGTATCCAACACACGTTTGCACATAAAGTACGCTCAAGCCTAGAAGTGCAGAATGCGAATTAGTGACCTAAGATTAAGTCCAAATTCTTTTTTTGAACTTTTTCAATATAAAAATGAACAATTGATGATCACGTTTTATTTCCATCGCATATCTTCCGCTCGAACGTCTTTTTCGCTCTTATAACATGGACTTAAAGCTTTTTCTGATCGACTTAATGCAATTCCCTCGTTAAATGCGGTGACTTCTTATGTCAACAATGAATATTCAAATTTTTACGTCAATATTAAATTTGTGAAAAATTAAGGAAGCGCTCAAACCATTAGTAATTCAAATCAAAACATACTGCCGGAACAAAGACAATCTCGTTATAAAACTGCCGATCCGATAAATTGTTTTAAGACGCATAAAGGAGCTGGAGGAGGTAAAGCGGTCATCTTTGCCGTGTTATATAAATTGGTTAACTCTATGTGGGATGCTAGTGAATGGAAGATACCGCACGCAAAAACATTTTTATGTACCACTAACTACATGCAACATGTCGTACAATGATCCGTTGTTTCGTATGTGCAGGAATTATAATAAGGTTAGCACTGAGGTTGATATATTCCACCAATCTTTAAAATCATCTGGACGCTAGTCTATGAGGTCTGAAAACTCGGTCCAAAATGCGTTCATTTTGCTGATTCTTTTTGTAGATTTTTAAATTATTTCTAAATAGAATATCTGTTCTAATCTGTTCCAAACTAAAGAGTGTTGTAGTATTCAATTAATATTAAGTATTGTACATGGTTTGTGAAATATTATTGTGTCTAAATCATTGACTTACAAATTATATGGACGTCGGGTCCGCGCTAAAAAGTGTCCGCACTTGTAAGGCGCTAAAATCGTATACAGAGCGCGACACTCCGCTTTAGTCTTCATTTGTTCTACTGACAGCGCGATACTGCGATGACATTACAATTTAAATTTCGAATAGGTTGACTTGGGACATTTTTTTCGTGGTTTTTGTATTAGACCCGTCGTCCATTTATTTGTAAGTCAATGGTCTAGATAAATAAATTAATCTGTGATAAGAATTTCAATGTTGACTTCGAAGGACACTCTAGTATAATTGTAGTGTATCAATCTATACACATCTTGCGGCTGTGTTCGGGTTTAGTTTATTTTATAGTTTGTGACGCTGAACCAGATTGACTTACAATTATATGGACGTCGGGTCCGCGCTAAAAAGTGTCCGAACTTATAGGGCGTTAAAATCGTATACAGAGCGTCATTCTCGCTTTAGTCTTCGTTTGTTCGACTGACAGCGAAGCAAAATTAGACAGTACTGCGATGACATTACAATTTAAATTCAACGTTTTAGCTTTTTCATATTCCTTTACATGTCACTACGTTTAAATAGGTTGATTTGGGACATTTTTTTCGTGGTTTTTGTATTAGACCCGTCGTCCATTTATTTGTAAGTCAATGCTGAACCACTTATGTTTCACATGAACTTCTCCGATACACGAAAGCGCTTTGATAAATACGCGGCTTAAAGGTTACATAAAAAAACTTTTTTCAGTTTTAGCAATAGAGTTCTTAGTAGCAGCAGAGCACCTTGTGAAAGAGTTCGTACAGGTTAATACTGCCACCTTATCTATTTCTGCCGCCAAACAGTAATGTCAGCGTTACTGTGTTCCGGTTTTGAAAGGTGATTACAGGTATATGGGACTTGTTAATTTATGTCTCAGTGTGACGGGTGCAGTGGTAGTCGTCCAGATCTTTGTGATTTAAAGCTCTGAGTGGCACTGCAACTGTTATGGATAACGTGTTACGTTCAGTAACACGCACGTACCATCAGGCGCACGACTTTTTCGTTCCGTCACTTGATATTATAAAAAATATATTATATATTTATTTTTGAATTCAAAACTCCGTACTAAGCAATTGATGCATTTTTGTTTTAATTATAGCGAAAATAAAAACATCTAGAAATAAAAAAGTTAGGTGGGATCGTCGATGAGATAGATATATTTTTTGAAAATGGAGAAAACGGAATTTCGAGTACTCCGTTTCTCATCTGCAATCAGAACGTCAAAACTTATCGAATTATGATACGAACTATTGCCTCACCCCCGTACCCATTTGACTTCTTCATCTGATTTTTTCCTATTTGCATCAAATATAAGGACGTGACAGCCGAAACAGCGGCTTCATTTTCGGTTAATTTTTT